TCTTTTTCTTGACTGATTCAAGGATAGTGTCTGCCACTGAAAGACACTCATGCAAGATTAAATGAAGAGAAAGAGAAGCCATTGTTGCCTGGTGGCAAGTATGAGTAAATGCACAGACAGGCAATAAGTATGAGGTCTGAAGTGGCTGTTGCATTAGAATTATCTGGTTTTTCCAGACTCAATACTGTACAATAGGCTGGGCACGGTGGCTCACACCTGTAATCCTAGCACTCTGGGAGGCCCAGGCAGGCGGATCGCTCAAGGTCAGGAGTTGGAAACCAGCCTGAGCAAAAGCAAGACCCCATGTCTCTACTAAAAATAGAAACAAATTAATTGGCCAACTAAAAATATATAGAAAAAATGAGCCGGGCATGGCGGCGCATGCCTGTAATCCCAGCTACTTGGGAGGACGAGGCAGAAAGATAGCTTGAGCCCAGGAGTTTGAGGTTGCTGTGAGCTAGGCTGACACCACGACACTCTAGCCAGGGCAACAGAGTGAGACTCTGTCTCAAAAAAAAAAAAAAAAAATACTGTACAACGTCAAGTTTCCAAATTAAATCCATAATCTTAATGTAATACCATTTAAGCTCAACAGCTTTCATGGCACTTTGAAATAAAAAAATATATACATATAGACAATCAAAGGACCAATTTTGGGGGGAAAAAGTTGAGCTTTGCATCACATACAAAAATAAAATTTAGGTCACTGAAAAAACTAAGTGGAAAAAGAAATTTCAAATCTTTAGAAGAAATAGATTTTTAGGACCTTAATGAGTTTCTTATACAAGAAAGGGGAAAAAAAAACACCACAAAATATTGACAAGTATGATTACAATTTAAAAGTTCTGGATGAGAGACCCCTAACAAAGTGAAAAGACTAGCCACATATTGAGAAGTATAACAAAACCAAAAGAACATTCATAGCCTGTATACAGGTGAACATAGATAATATAGATACATATTTATCACTGCAATGTAAGGGAAAAATAGACAATTCACCAAAAAAAAAAAACAACAATTGGTCAAAAATATATGAAAATATGATCTCACTAGAAATCTGGGAAATGCAAATTAAAATACCATTCATTCACATAAGATTGCAAAAATTAATATCAAACTAAAACAATTATCAGCAAGTTTGAGAGTTTTATATAACTGCTGAGGCAATATTATCAGTAAAACCACTTTGAAGAAAATAATTACATAGTAAAGATGAACATGTCCATATTCTATGCCAAGCTATTCTACTGCCACATATCAATCTCAGAGAAACTGTATATAAGATATACACTGTACCAGAATTTCTGTAACTGCAGCATGTTGAAGAAATAAACTGGTTTATCTGTATAAGATATATAGCAATTATAACAAATGTATTAACATAGATAAATATTAAAAGCAGTGTTAGCCTAGGTAAGAGGATCGCCTGAGGCTGGGAGATGGAGATCAGTCAGAGCAATATAGTGAGACCCCCATCATCTCTACAAAAAAAAGGAAAAAAAAAATGGCTGGGTGTTGTGGCATATCTCTGTAGGCCCAGCTACTTAAGAGGTTGAGTGAGGCAAGAGGATTGCTCGAGCCCTGGAGTTTAAGGTTGCAGTGAGCTATGATGACACCACTGTACTCTAGCCTGGACAACAGAGACCTTGTTGCAAAAAAAAAAAAAAAACAATTTAAAAGCAATATTATAAAAGACACATAAAGTCTATCATGTAAAATTTTAGAAAACTTCAAAAATGATAGTACATATTGTTTATTATACTGTTTATGGATATGCAAATACAGTATAATGAAAAAATCTGAACGATATAAGCCAACTTTCAAGATGATTACCTAGAGAAAGACGGGGCTAGAGCTCTAGCTATATATATAAATATTTTATTCTTTATAAGACATAAAGCAAATATGGCTAAATGTTGACATATGTTTATTCTGGGTGATAGACACTTAGGTTTCTAATGAATTATATTTTATTTTATCCTGTGTGTCTGAACATTTCAATTTAGTTAAAAATGTATTTTTCAAAAAGGATCATTCTAAGTGGCTTGAGTCTAGAAGATGAACTGAAATGGGGGCAAGACTAGTAAAGGGTAGACAGGGCGGAGAACACTGCATTAATCTAAGTAAGAAATGACAGTAGCATGAACTAAAATCATGAAAATCGGAAGGAGAAAGATCAATATTACATATACATACATATGAATTAGGACTAGAGAATTCTTGATGTAGTTATGCAAAAATGGTATGCCTATGGATCATTTTCCTATATTAGACATTTCTCAAAAGAAGGCATACAAATGGCCAGAAGGTATATGGGGGAAAAAATGCTCAAAATCCCTCATCATCAGGGAAAGACAAATTAAAACCATAAGATAACAGTTCACACCTGTTAGAATGGCTATATTATCATAAAGATGAAAGATTAAGTGTTGGCCAGTATGTGGAGTTGGTAGGAATGTACATTAGTACAACCATATTGGAAAAGAGTATGGAGATTCCTCAAAAAATTAAAAATAAAATTGTCACGATTCAGCAATACCACTATGAAGTATGTATTCAAAAGAAATGAAATCAGTATGTCAAAGAGGTATCCGTACTCCTATGTTCATTGCAGCATTATTCACAATATGAATCAACCTAAGTGTCCATCAACAGATGAAGAAAATGTGATATATACATATACACACACAAACACACACAATGGAATACAATTCAGCCATAAAGAAGGAAATCCTGTCATTTGTGACAACGTGAATGAACCTGGAGAACACATCAAATGAAATAAGCCAAACACCGAAAGACAAATATCTCATGATTTCACTTATTCGTGGAATCTAAAAAAGCTGAACTTGTAGAAGCAGAGAGTAGAATGGTGGTTACTAGGGGCTGAGAAGAGTGGGCAAAGAGGATTGGGAAGATACTGGTCAAAGAATACAAAATTTGAATTAGGAGGAATAAGTTTAAGAGCTCTACAGTACATCATAGTGACTATAGTTAAGTAAAAAAAAAAAAAAAATCCCCCATGTCAGCTCAATTTTGGGTTTGTTTTCTCAAAAACTTCAAGTTCAATGACATCATTTTCTATAGTTAGTGAAATTAAGTTGCCTTTCTATAAAATTAATAAAACTCAAAGCCAGAGGAATCTCTATCCAGAAATTCTGCAGTACTATTATTAAATCTGATTTATAGCATTATCATATGTGATTATACTAAGACAATGGACCAAAGGCACGTCCTTGTCAGCCTACACCAAAATTGTCACTTTCACTATTTGTGTTGTCATATTAATGCTGTCAGCTTATAAACGAAGTCTAAAATTCACCATCTCTAGTCATCGCCTGAAAACAATTCTACAGACATAATAGCAGCTCAAAATTGGGTCTCAATAGTCATTAACATTAGACCCAAAACAAAATTACAGGTACAAAAAACTGCAAATTCCAAAAAGACACGTACAATACCCAGTAAACAACAATGTCTCGATACATGTAATTTGAATCTGAGAGTATCCTATCATTAAAAGGAATACTTCAAACTATTCCATCTTATATATATGTGTATTCATATATATTCACAAACATTCATGAGAATGTACAGAGACAGATGACAACCCAAACAGAGCAAGCCTTGATTAGGGAGAGAATGTAGGCCAAGAGGTTTACCAAATCATTACCTTACTTCCTGTAGCAAAGCACAGAAAAGACTCTAGAACTCTAAGAAACACCATACAAAACTTACTGCTCTCAATTTCCAAAAATATGCTAAGTCCCTACAACCATTTTAATGTATAGTTTTGTTTTTTTAAATACTGAGGTACTGCAACTTTCAAAAATGAACACTTGCTTGCTTATCAGAGTAAACTGCTTGAGAGAGACTTTATGAAAGAAAGAAAGGAAGAAGGAAAGAAGAGAAAAGGGAGGAAGGGAGGAAAGGCAAGGAAAAGAAAGAAAAATATACTCACTTTACCCTCTGCTCTACTTGTGCTTACGCAGAACTGCTTTTCAGTCTGTAATGCCAACATAATGCCCTTGAGAAACTGAACACGTGTCTTTTTATTACATTTGGGAGAAGTTTGTTTCTGTTAACTCTGAGGTAGAAAAAAAGTATTCTACAGTCTTTTGAGAATCATTCATTTTTAAAGGCAAAGATGTAGGTATCATATAACTTGGGCTACTTGGCTGACCCAGTATTCACTGTTCAGTGGCGTGATAGATAACTCTTTCTGGGCATTGGTACTACTGAGTATAGTTCAATCAGTTATTAATTTTGACATATCATCATTTCTATTGTTTTTTTTATTTTTTGAGACAGAGTCTCGCTTTGCTGCCCAGGCTAGAGTGAGTGCCGTGGCATCAGCCTAGCTCACAGCAACCTCAAACTCCTGGGCTCAAGCAATCCTCCTGCCTCAGCCTCCCAAGTAGCTGGGACTACAGGCATGCACCACCATGCCCGGCTCATTTTTTCTATATATATATATATTAGTTGGCCAATTAATTTCTTACTATTTATAGTAGAGACGGGGTCTCACTCTTGCTCAGGCTGGTTTCGAACTCCTGACCTCGAGTAATACGCCCGCCTCAGCCTCCCAGAGTGCTAGGATTACAGGCGTGAGCCACCGCACCCGGTCTTTATTGGTTTTTTTTTAGTTCTTTATTGAATTATTTTTCCTATTTTGTTCCTGCTTCTAACCTTTGCCTTGCCTCTGTATTTTATTAAAGTCAGATATAACTAACTCTCTTCTTTCTTACATACAAAAACTATACAGGTAACCACACTCTTTAGTAGTTACATGAAATGGTCATTTAGTTATAGCAGATGCAGAATTGGTCCTGTGGACTTTGGTAAAGTGACTCAACCTCTCCGAGGGTGAATCTGCTAAAGTATAATAAAAATAAAGCCACCTACTTCGAATTCATATAAAGCACTTAGTATGCTTTAAGTACTTAACAAACACAAATTTTTCCCCATTTTTCTCCAGAGTAGATGCTGTGTCTTTAGTCTTTTTTTTTTTTTCCACACATAAAAAACTTTATTTACAGTTGAAAGGTTAAATGCAGACAATCTTGGGTTCTGAATCTGTGCTACTTCCAGGGTCTCTTGATTAAATGGGCAGCAGCAGGCAGGGAAACAAACACAGGGGCCAGTCCAGATTATCTTACTCAAGAACATCTCCCAGAGCAATGGAAGGCCTGGTTCAGTCTCAGTTGGGACTATATCTCCCCACACTGTGAGATCACCACAGGCAGCTTGGGCTTATTGTTGGGGCCCATAGGAACATTCTCAATTTTTCTCATCACTAGAAGTCCATCAATGATTTTTCCAAACACTACCTGCTTCCCATCCAGCCAGTCGCACTTAGAGCAGGTAATAAAGAACTGACAACCATTTGTACTGGGACCACTGTTTGCTATGGAAAGCAGGCCTGGAGCAGAATGCCTAAGTTTAAAATTTTCATCTGCAAATGGTCCCCGGTAAATACTGGCAACTCCAGTACCATCTCCATTAACAAAATCTCCACCCTGAATCATGAAATCCTTTATAACCCTGTGGAAGGTACTCCCTTTGTATCCTATTGGCACCCCATCTTTTCTGAATTCTCCAGTGCAGAACTGCCTAAAGTTCTCCGCTGTTTTAGGCACAACGTCTGCAAATAACTCGATCTTCATGTGGCCAACTTCTGGCCACTGATGCTGACATCAAAGAACACCACGGGGTTGACGGGGCTTGAATTTGCCACCGCCATGGCTCAACCCAGAAGCAGAAGTCTGTGTCTTTAGTCTTTAAGGACCAATACAGAGGAGTAAAACTCACCAGGTTAAAAAAATCTTCCCAAATCACATAAAGGTGGCCTTGGGGAGTTGCTAAGAAGCTGGGGATAAAGACGTATATGTAGAAGAGACCAGGGCTCCAAACATCACTCAGCCAGAAAAGTTATGCTTTGTCATAAGATATTGGTACACCACAAACTGTATTTGATAAAATGGATCCGACAGTTTTTTAAAAATGAAGTCTGAAAAATCGCCATTATTGACAATCTCACCAATACAAAGACATATATACAAAAACTGCATCTTCAAGAATCACTGAGCTTCTTCCTCGATGGTTCATTTTTTTCCCTGGCAGAGGGTCTGCTCAGCACACAATGCACATCTCATCTGTCAAAAGTAACCAATACTATTCAAGGCCTGATCCTTTTGCTTCTGCAAAATGGGAATTTTTTGAAAGCTACTGGGGCTGTCTCATAAATGAGAAGGGTGGAATGACTAAACCATGGCAAGAGGAGGTAAGAAGCTGAGCATTAGACAATTAGAACCAGGAACTCAAACACCCAGGACACTCACTTGTCAGACAGCATCATTCTCTCTCAATGCAAGACCAACTTCCCCTCAGAATGGCAAACATGACCATGGATAACTCTCAAGTGCTACACCTTACCACACTTACCACCAGAAAGAGATGATTCTCTTCACCAGTTTCAGTTAAAAACTCCCAGGGAATTCTAACTGGCCTCGCCTATATGAAGGGAGATAGGGGAATGACCAAGCAAGGGAGGAATTTGAGAGGTCCCATTAGAACTACATGAGAAAGGATACAGGAATGGAGAGAGAGAATCCTAAATAAAGGACGGCATACTAGTCCCGTAAGATAAAAAAATATGGTAGGTAGATAAAACAATATGACTATTATTATAGTAGGACAGTAGAAAAAGCAACTTTTGGAATCCAAAGGATCTTGGTTAAAATCCTTACTTGATCGGTTAACTAGCAGTAAATCTTGGGCAAGTCATAATCTCTAAATTACTTTTTTCATCTACTAATGAAACTAATATAAGATTTAGAAAAAAGATTCATAAAATTCCTAGCATGGTTCCAGTATATAATAGGCATACAGGTAGAAATGATTTTTAAGTCACCAACATTCACTAAATTTCTTCCCTCCCCCACCAGTAAAGTTAGAAATAATTACTTAAATGTTTTCACATTCACTGTATTAAATGCTTATGAAAGTTTCTGGTGTATAACAAGCATTCTTCTGTCATTCAGAATCATTAAATTTTAGGTGAATCAATCTGATGTTTGATTATCTTCAGCAAGATGTACTCTATGCTACTACCTCTATACTAGAATAAGTTCCTCCATACAGTGAACTGAAATCACTTCCTGTAGGTTTCATTCATTTCCTAGTTTGACATATTATAAAAGTCCATTCCTGCTTCATGACAGACCTCAAAATATTTAAGGCAGCCATGATGCCCGCCCCCACAATTCCCCTGCTCAGGTTAATTTTTTCAAATGTACATTCCTAATTGCCTTAATCATTCCGTATAACATGATTTCAAATTGTATCTTCCCTCTGAATATTAACCTGTAACCAGAAGTAAGTGTAATAATTCAGGTGTGGAATAGTCAAAACAGAAGTATCCTTGTCGTTTCCCTTGTACCAACCACCACAATTCTTTTGCTGTCACATGCTGCTAAGCCAGCAAGATGTGCCCCTCCTTTCACCAACAAAGATGGGGAAGGATTTATGTTTATTAAGTACATAAAGCATGCTACTGGAATTAGTTTTGGGATGGACAGGTCTTACATTTTTCCATATTGAATTTCCCTTTGTCAGATTCACCTGACCATATAAGCCTATCAAAATCGATCCTCTTAGTTCCTTAATCTGTCATCCAAAGTATTCACTATCTTAGGTAGTCAATAATTCTATTCACCAATATTTCTAGGTCTCTTTCTTCCAAGCATATGATAAAATCACACTTCTCTACCCATCCAACACCCAGGCTGGGTGTGGCCATGTGATTTGCTTTGATCAGTTAAACATGAATTGATGTGATATGACAGAAGTTTCTGAGGGTTGATGTGCAATTCATCAGGTTCCCTTTCTCCAGCCACAAATATAGGCAATGTTTCCAGAAGGTAAAAGTCTCTAGTTTGGGTTCCTATGTCAGGACAACACTGAGCAGAGCAACATACTGACCTAAGAATGAACATGCAGTATGAACAACAAATAAATCATTTTTATTTTTATGCCATTGAGATTTGAGAGTTATTTAAAATAGTAAAATCTAGCTCATTCTGGCTAACATACTAGTCCTCTCAGATCTGTGCCATCTGCAAATTTAATAAATATGTCTTAAATCTCATGTAATCCACCGAAGACAGGAAGTTCCATCCACAAAAATAAAAGTTAGGCTGTTTTGGTTTGTACTCAATGAATTCAGGCTAGTTTTCATGATTAGTGCTTTACCTCTCCTGGAAACACTCTTTAAATTTATTCTAGAATCTCACCTGAGAGCCACATCAAGCTTTATAAGCTACTTTCTTCCCTTTTCTGAAAAATGGAATAACTCTTCCCTGTCTCTAGCCTTCAGGTACATCTCTCCTTAACTCCACAAGGCCTAAAAACAAAGTTATTTAGAAATTTCACTTTCAAGTTCTTACAACCCTAGGATATAATTCATTCAAATTAAAAACAAGTAGTTGCTATCTTAAAGCACCCCTCTGTATTTCATTTCCCTCTCATTATTCTGCTCTAACCCAAAGCTTACTATGAACATGGCCAGCTAGAGAAATCCTTTCCTTCAGAAATTATATGCATGTAATGTTCAGTGGGCTATTCTCACTGTCCTCTGCTATTTATTCACTTCTAACAATCTATTCGAAAAACATTTACCAAATACTATATATTAAGCAACTGCTTGGTCTGGGACATGATCTCTACCCTCAAGGTACAGTTAAAAATATCAAGTGAATACTACAGAGGTGGGTAAGAGTCCCACAACACAAGAGGTCTTGAATGCCCTATTTAAGTAGCATACCAGAATGCCTAAGAACATAAACTTTAAAATCAGACAGTCCTGGGGTTAGTTCCTGGTCTCATTTTCCTCATCCATAAAACTGGGATTAAAAAAACAACAAAGGATTGTTTGAAGAATTAAATCAGACAATACAAGTAATAGATTTAGCTATATCTAATGCTACTGTTATCCTGAAGGTAATGGTTAATAATTGAGAATTTTAAACACAGGTATGACCAATCAAATTTGTATTTTAGATATATTATGCTTTGGATCCAGTAACAAGATAGATCAAAGGGTGAGCCTGAAGTCCGGAATACCAGTTAAAAGGCTGTTGCAGTAACCAATGGTTCAGCTAGGCAGAAAAGACAGAAGGGGAAGGACTTCTAACATGGTAAGATGGAATCAACACAACTTGGTGATAAACTGAATATGGGAGAATAAGGGAAAGAGTTAAGAATGACTTCTAGATTTACAATTCATGAAACTGAGCAGATGATAGGACCATTCACCAAGGTGGGAAACACAGAGGACAATGCAATTTTCAGGAAGGAGCAGAAACTCAACTTGGGACACGTCAAGTTTGAAGACTATATGAAACATACAGCAAGAGAGGTCTAGAAAGCAGAGGGACATCCAGTATCTTAGTCTGAGAGTCAGTATCTTAGTCTGAGAGTTAAGATACACAAATATTTGAAGCCATTATTTACATAATCACTGAAAATGTCATAAAAAAAAACCATGCAGAGTGAAATGAGAAGGACTGAAGTTAGAAAACAAATGCAAACAAAACATATTTCTCAGGTAAGATCTACATGAAGGTTTCTGAAGGGTAGATCCTCTGAATACATAAATGTATCATATCATACAAAAAAAGATAATGCTTAAAGTTTCCCACCTTTCAACTACAATTCAAAGAGCAAGCTTCTTAAATCTTTGAGTAGTCTAAATTTTTTTGCCTTGATAATCTCAGGTAGGTGACCAACATACAAAGAAACTAAAATCTGTAAATATACATTCAACATGACTTACATATCAATAAAATAAGACAAATCTCTAAAAAAGGTTTAGTCCTGGATCTGATGATAACTACAGAACCTTGTATAAGTTAAATCCTCTCCAGGCCTCAGTTTTCTCATCTAAGATTTGAACTACATGACTAATAATTTATTTCCAGTGTATCACCTGTTTTTAATGACTTCACATTTTATATGGCTATAATGTCAACTATTGACATCTCTTAAACACACATCTTTAACAACAAAAATTCCAAAGTTAAATTCCAAGTCGAATGGTAAAAAAAAAAAATTACCTTCTAAAGCAACAGAAAACACACAAGGCATGCAGTGTCAAGAAAACTGTATCTGTGATTCTAAGACAGCTCCCCTACCCCCCCCAAAAAAAGCCTGTTACAAATCTAGAAACTGTGAGTTAAATTTTCATTGCAATACAGACCATCTCTTATTACTTTGTAAATAAAAATCCTACAGCTTTCCAGAGAATAACATGAAAAAATTTCAAGGTATATTTTCCATAGTAAATTTCTGGATAAACAAGTTTCAAAGTTAAAACCATCTAATTTCTCCATGAGTTAAAACTAAGACAAGGAAAAAAAATAAAAAGCATCTAAATTAGAAAAGAAGAAAAATTATTTGTTTGCAGAAAACATAATCTTCTATGTAGAAAGCCTAAAGAGTCCACGAAAAAAGTATTAGAATAAACAGATTCAGCAAAGTTATAAGATGTAAAAATCAACATACAAATATCAGTTGCATCTCTACACACTACACTGAACAATCCAAAAAGGAAATTAAGAAAATAATTCTATTTACAATGGTATCAAAAAGAATAAACTATTTGGGGATGAACTGAATCAAGGAGGCAAAAAATTTGTACACAGAAAACTATAAAATGCTGCCAAAAGAAATTAAAGACAGAAATAAATGAAAAGATATCATGTGTTCACCCATTGGAAGCCCTAATACTATTAAGATGTCAATACTCCTCAAAGCAATCTACAGATTCAATACAATCCTTATCAAAATCCTCAATGATGCTTTTTACAGAAATAGAAAAATCAAACCTAAAATTCATATGAAATCTCAAGGGATTTGAATACCCACAACAATCTTGAAAAAACCAAAACAAAACTTGGAGGTTTCATAATTCCTGATTTTAAAGCTTACTACAAAACTACAGCAATCAAAACAGACTGGAATTGGCATAAAGATGGATATTTAGACCAATGGAATAGAATAGAGAGCCAAAAAAATGATCAAATGGTTTTTGGCAAGGGTCCCAAGACCATCCAATGGGGCAAATGACAGTCTTTTCAACAAATGGTCTTGAGGAAACTAGAGACCCACATGCAGAAGAATGAAGTTGGACCCTTCATCTTAACACTATACCGAAAAATTAACTCTAAATGGATCAAAGACCTCAAAGTAAGAGCTAAAACTATAAAACTCTTTGAAGAAGACATAGGGGAAAAGATTCATGACACTGAATTTAGCAATGATTTCTTGGATATGACACCAAAAACTTGGGTAACAAAAGAAAATAGAAAATCAATACACTAGACTTTGTCAAAGTTTAAATCTTTTGTGCATAAGGATACTATCAACAAAGTGAAAACGCAATGCAGAGATTGAAAGAAAATACAAGCAAATAATATTTGATAAAGGATTAACATTTAGAACATATAAAGAACTCCTATAATTCAGCAACAAAATAATTTTAAAATGGTCAAAGGATTTGAACAGACATTTCTCCAAAGATACACAAATGGTCAATGAGCAAATGAAAAGATGCTTAACATCACTAGTATATTAGAAAAATGCAAACCCAAACCATGAAATACCACTTCACATACATTACAATGTCTATTATTAAAAAAACAAAAACACCTAGAAAATAACAAATGTTGTCAAGGAAGTGGGACAAGTGAAACACTTACACATTGCTAGTGCAAATGTAAAATGATACAACCATTAATGCATACATTACATAACAGTGGTTTCTCAAAAAAATTAAACATAGAATTACCATATGATCCAGCAATTACATTCTGGATATATACCAAAAAGAATTCAAAGCAAAGACTTTAAATAGATATCTATATATTTGTGTTCATAGCAGCAATATTCACAGTAGCCAAAAGGACACTTGGGAAACAACCTAAGTGTCCATCGATGGATAAATGGATAAATAAAATGTGGTATAAACATACAATAGAATATTATTCAGCCTTAAAAAGGCAGTTTTCACACATGCTACCACATGGATTGGCCTTAAAAACATTTTGCTAAGTGAAATAAGCCAGTCACAAAAGGACAAATATATGATTCCACTTATGAGGTAGAATGGTGGTTGCGCAGGGTTGGAGGAGGGAGGAGTTGCTGTTTTAAGGCTATGAAAGAGTTTAATTTGGGAAAGAAAGTTCTAGAGATAGACAGTGGTTAATGTTTGCACAACAAGAACTATATACTTAAAACAGTTAAAATAATACATTTTATGTTAAATTTCACAATAAAAAAACTAACAAAAATATTTTTCCTAGTAGATAAATGAATAGAGTTTAGAATAGATATTTTTGATTATTTTTAGGATGAAAATTTTTAACACCTCAGGTAAAACAGTGTTCCAATGGATTCTATTCACACATAAAAAAATTTATGAAGACCTATGCCCCTAAATATCTGTCACTGTTCATATGGAATATGAATGAAGGTATATATCACTTGATCTCAAATAGAGAAATCAGAGAGTAAAAGCTAGTAAAATTAACATAGAATTTAAAAAGATAAATATATCTACTTGAATGTCTCAAAAAGTACATTGGTGATTAGGAAAAAATCTTGTTTCCAAGGCAAGTTTTTTTTTTTTTTTTTGAGACAGAGTCTCACTCCGTTGCCCAGGCTAGATATGACATGGCGTCAGCCTACCTCACAGCAACGTCAAACTCTTGGGCTCAAGTGATCTTCCTGCCTCATCCTCCCAAATAGCTGGGACTACAGGTATGCACCACCATGTCTAGCTACTTTTTTTTTTTTTAGTTGTCCAGCTAATTTCTTTCTATTTTTTTATTGGGGGGGGGGTGTCTCGCTCTTGCTCAGGCTGGTCTCAAACTTCCGAGCTCAAATGATCTGCCCGCCTTGCCTGCCAGAAGTGCTAGGATTACAGGTGTGACCACCACGCCCGGCCCCAAGGCAAGTTTTTAAGTAGAACTTCTTTGCATTTAACTAACATTCAAGTATACAAGTCTGAATGGCAAGTAATATTTGTTCTAGCATTTGAAAAAAACACAACAAAAAATTATGGTGTTTTTCTAATATTCTAGTATCTAGAAGGGATAAAATCATAGCTTTTACAATTCAAAGCTGATCCTTGACAAATTTTCTTCCCTTATTTCCTCTGGATCCTCCACTGCTTTGCACCACCTTGCACTTGTTCAATGACTTCACAGATGTTTCTCAAAGCCTTACCTAAACACAAACCAAATTTACTTTTTACAAGATATAACCAAGACTCTAAATTAAGGCAACCCTGATGAATTTTGTGTGTGTAAGAAAACATATGTGGAAAGTCCCTTTTCCTCTAAATCACTTTCAGTAAGACTTTCCTAAATGTTGCCTGAAATCACTTCCACAGTACCTACTAATTCATTCAAACCCAAAGAGCTTATTTTCAGTTTATAGAAACAGAAAATCTTTCATTTCTTTAAGGTTAGAATAAAGCTGTAGTGTGTGAATTATTAAAATGTTCCTGTCATCTCTCCTTTTTATAGGTATGCAATCTCTTACATTTAAGGTATTTGTTAAAATTCATCATTTCTCTAAGACTTGCAAACGATAATGATTTTTCCACAACTGTTTGCCCATTTCAAGCTCTAGAAAATAATTTATCATTTCCTGCAATTCTTTGTCATTCTTTCAGATATAATTCTCCACTTACTGATCTACAAGTAATGCTTTTTTTGGCCATAGGAAGTCAAAATCTAACCATCATATTAAATTCTGCCATATATTTTATACATTAAAGGCATATTCTGGTCCAAAATATAAAGCCAGAACTTCCCATCAAAGCTCAAGGAATTTGAATCTCCTAGCCTGTGGTAGCCTAACCCAATAAGAAAGACAAACTTTCAGCTCAATGATATCTGAGAGACCAATCTTAGGAGACTATCTGTTCTAAAAACTTTTTGTCTTAGGGCTCTTTCACACTTTTATGTTATTAAAGAGCCCAGAGAGTTTTGCTTATGAGGGTTATTTCTGTTGGTGACTACTGAATTCAAAATTAAAACTGAGAAATTAAGTATTTATTTTTAATTCACTTAATATATCTAGTATATATCAATATAAATAACTATAAACTAATTATTTTTAAGAATTAAGTGAGAAGGATGGCACTATTTTATATTTTTACAAATTTCTTTCACGTCTGGCTTAATAGAAAATAGCTGGATGGGCATGGTGGCTCATGCCTGCAATCCCAGTACTTTGGGAGACAGAGGCAGGTAGATCGCTAGGGTGAGTTCAAGACAAGCCTGGGCAACACAGCAAAAAGCTGTCTCTACAAAAGATTAAAAAGTTAGTCAGGCATGGTAGCATGTGCCTGCAGTCCCAGCTACCAGGGAGGCTGACACAGAAAGATAGCTTGCGCTGAGGAGTTTGAGGCTGCAGTGAGTTACGATCATGCCACTGCACTCCAGCCTGGGTAGGTGATGGGGAGGGCAGGGGATGGGATAAGAAAAAAGAAATTTAAGGAGTTGGAATCTTATACCTGCTTCTGCATTCAATGTGCTGTGATAAATTATCCTGGTTCAAGTATATGAAGAAAATCTGTACTCATAACTAGATAGAAAATTGTAGCATATTTTAAAAGGTTTTTTAGAAAATTGTGGATAATCACTTTGGATACTACATCAAAAACTTTTCATACTTTTTCACATTAAAATCCATTGGTCTCACTTGCATTTTGGATGGGTCTTTTACTCAGCGATGATTTTATAATGTCATGGATGCATCAGTCATTTGGAAAATGCTGGTTCACTAAGTTATGTAGGTCTTCCAATTATTGACATATTTCATTATATATATATAATCAAAATAGTCACATTCATTAATATCACTGATATCATCAAGAAAGTTTTAAGTACTGTAAAGCTAGTTATCAAGCTCAAGGTGGCCAATGCCAATTTTCACAAATTTTAATTTTTGCTTGAAAGCTCAAATTTTATCATTAGTAACAAATATTTACAGTTGCTTTTCTTGAAGTGACAAGTTCACTTTGTTCCTTTTTAAGGAACATTTTCAAGAAAGTGTTTGCCAAATATCCAAGTCTGAATAACCATAGTTTGTCAGTTGTTCTTTCAAGTCAAAAGTATTGTATTTAAAAGTGTAGTTCAGCTAGTAAGTCAATCACATGGATTTTCTTCTATGTAGCACATACTCTATCATACAGATACCTAAGGGTCAAGTGTAATAAAAATAATTTATACTTAAATATAGTGTTAAGGGAAATAGGGTTTTTTCTACCTTAACTATGAGTGCAAAGCAGTGAGAAACACAGACTACTACTAGAGACCTTGGTGCCACTGTCTTGATTCCTAATAAGATATCAGAAGTATCATTTGTATCATTGTGCAAATGTCAAACAAAACAAAAAAAAGTTTTATTATTATTACAAGAACAGTTTTGACCAAAGTGTACAGTAATAGATTAACTGGCCCAAGAAATATTTGGTCCTTGCTCAGCCCCTAGGAAGTACCTGTAAGCCCCTGGAATGTCCTACTTCACAAAGAGTCTTTATTTACCTGGAGGTCTTGGTCCACAACAGATAGTCTAACAAAATGATTTATGGTGGGGTCTCTAGGCCACACAGTATCAGCTTGACCTTTGGATGGGATGGAGACTAAGATCAGCCACTGGTGTAGTCAGCCATATAACTATGTGACTCACCAACGCTGGACACCAAAGTTCAGGCTGATGTCCCTGGTTGCCAATACTCCATGTGCTTTATCATATATTGTTGGGGGAAGTAAGTATTGTCTGCACCTCTCTCAGAATAGCACAACTGGAAGTTTGTGCCTTGAACTCTGCTGGACCCTGCCCTATGCACCTTTACCCACTGCCGATTTTAATCTGTATCATTTTGATGGGATAAACCATACCAGGAATTTAACTGCTTTGCTGAGTTCTGTGAGTCCTCCTAGCAAATTATTGAATTTGAGAGTGCACAATCTCCCAAACCACACAAGGTTAGTCACAATCAAACTCTTGAGTAAATAAAAGCCAATTCCCCACTTATAGGTTTTTCTACACAAGACATTCGGTTTTCCCAGGGCCAAAAATGGGCGTGGGGTAGGATATATGTGCAGGATCCATGGATCCAGAGTTTCACTGCGACATAACTACCAGCCCTTTCTCCAAGCAGCCTGTTTTAGAGCAGGGTTTCTTAATCTCTGTAATATTGATATTTTAGACCAGATGATTCTTTGTTATGGAGGGATGTCCTTCCTATTCATTGTAGGATGTTTAAAAAGCATCCCTGGCCTCTATCCAATAGATGCCAGTAATATCCTACCTTCTCCCCAGTTGTAACAATCAAAAAAGTCTCCAGACATTGCCAAATATCTGCTGAGGAGCAGAATTCCCCTCCCCCCAACATGGAGAATAAC